CACTAACAGCTACATTATCCAATAGTTAGTGTGACTATTGGTGTGGAAACGTGAGTGGAAGCTAAGATGGGGACTCAGCCTAAGGGAAAGAAAACAACATATCACTCGACAATAGCCTGAAAGATATGCCAGGCAATGCAATTTCAGCAAGGGAAATCCACATTTACAACTAATTTTGAGAGGCAAGATTCACTGTGTTTCTAATTACTAGAAAAACAAGGTTCTTCAGCCCAGCTCTGTTCATTTTGCTTCTTTCCAAGCTGTGAAGTGCAATGGGCTGATTTTATTGAACACCTCATCAGCCCTAGTTGAGTGCTTAATCAGTGCTGCAAACTCTTGAACAAGCTATAGACATGTCTGGTATTGGAAAATAACGACTCTTTTGTTTCAGCTTCTTAACTGTACTTAAGATGTGAAGGGAAGATTAACCCTTCATACAGTACTGGCTGCTGATTTATTGAAAGGAGTTGGAGAGCTGCTTCCTACCCAGAGCCATTTCATAGGTTGTGTCAGAAGGAAAACATGATTGAGCAGTTGTGAGGCATTTAGAGCAAAATATGCTGGGGAAGGGGAGACAGACATGGGCTGTCATCAGGTATTGTCTAGTTTCCAGTGAGAATAGAAACTGAATAAATACAGTCAAGGCCTAATTGTCCCATTTGTGCAGTAACAGCTCAATAATTAGCATAGCACAAAAGTTAAGATGTTAGATTTTGGACAGATCTAACTTCACACCTTCACTTGACCATTCTTGGTGATCTTAATTCAGCCATCTTCTCTCTATAGAAATCATTTTACAGGGTGGTTGTTGAGAGGATACAAGGAAGGGAGAAAAGGTGCCTTGAGCTTCCAGAGAAAAGTCAGGATACAATACAACATAAAATAAAATATTTTTCTGTGCTGCCCATGACAAGCATTATGTCTACAGTTCTGAACAACTGTATTAATTAATCACTGTCCTTTATCATCATACTGTCCTACTGAATGTAAGCAAGATGGTATCTCCTTAGGAGACCATAAATTCAGCAAAAATCCAAAACAAACAAACCCTCCAATTGATATAGTTTTGAAGGATAATTCGTGCACTGCAATTTTCTCAGCATGCAGCATTATATAATGTTTGGAACATGATATTTATAAAACTGTGCATTTCAAAGAATACACAATGTTTTTGTAAAACATTGAGCGCATTCTGACCCCCCCCCCCAAAGCTAAGTTTTGGGTTTGGTGCGCAGGAGAGACGAGGTGGAGGCGAAAATAAAGCTAACAGGCTTTATTAATAAATTGTATCTCAGCCGTGGCTAGCTGCGAGCTTGTGACAGCAGCTGAGAGGGAGAGGGAGAGAGACAGCTGATTCCTTTTGACAGCTGCTTTTATATGGAGCTGTCAAATGGCTCAGCCAATCAGAGGCTTCTCCGGCTCCCGCTCAAAAGGCAGACCGGAATGAAGACTTGCTGGTTGCAACACTCCTTCCCCCTGGAACTGCACATGCATAACTGTCCAGGTAGGTGGGTGACGCCTCACTTGCCCTGATTGTCTCAGTCCTGCAGATGGCGGAAATGGGGAAGGACCTGTTGTTGAGCTGGAGCCTTCTGCTGGGGGCGGTGTTGTCTCTTTTCCCTGGGTGATCTCAGCTGGCTGCGGGAGGACCTCGGGCGTTGGCTAGACCTTGTCAGATGGTGGCAAGTGGGCTCCAGTCGTCAATGTCACGGCTTCCCCAGGTAAGGCCTCCGCGAGAGACCTCCGCGAGGGACTTCAGTGTTGTCCAAGGGTGGGATTCTACCACTTTGCACCTATTCACTAGAACCGGTTGTTAACATTCTAAGCAGTTCAGAGAACCAGTTGTTAGAAGAAATTACTGGCCTAATCCTGTAAGGAAGGCAGCAAGGAAACATATTGGTGTTGCTTACAGAAACTGACTCTCCATTAACCCTTATTACATTCTTGGCAGGACTAGACTTCCTGTCTCAGGAACTTCTCTGGACTTCCCCCCCCTCTTTTGCTGGTACTTTGCTTGTGTGGAGTGACCATTCAAAGTTACAATGGCATTGAAAAAAGTGTCTTATGACCATTTTTCACACTTACGACTGTTGCAGCATCCCCACAGTCATGAGAGGCCAGGTGAGGAGATGCATGCCTCAATGTGAGTGATATTGAGTTGGCCATGCCTAGCTAATAACATGACCACCAAGGCACATCCACCCAGTCACATGACCACCAAGCCACGTCCACCAACCAAGCCACACCCACAGAACTGGTTGTTAAAAAATTTGAATCCCACCCCTGGTGTTGTCCCACTCGGTGTCTGCAGTCTCGGCTTCCCTCTGGAAGGGACCTGCAGGGGCACACCAATGGCTTTTTAGTTGGTCCATGTGCCAGCGCCACATTGTTCCATCAGCCAACCTTATTCTGTATGGATTGGGACCTGTTTTCTGTTCCACCCACCCGGACAACCATAGGGGATTTCCTGCGTAATTGCGGGATAGACCGGGTCCCCAGGCCTGAATTCCCTCACCTTTCTGGACGAGTCGAGGGACACCCTGGGGGCATAGGTAGAGTGCAGCCTGTCGAGGGGTATGCATAGTCTCCTTCCTATTAATAGTTCAGCTGGGGTGAGGTTGGTGGCAGCACTAGGGGTAGTGTGCTGGGTGAATAGGTACTGGGCTACCCTAGTAGACCAGTCCCCTTCTGCCATTCTTCCCAGGGCTTCTTTAGCTGATTGTATAGCCCTCTCTGCCAGGCCATTGGAAGCTGGGTGAAAAGGGGAAATCAGGGCATGCCTGATACCCCTTTGGGCCACGAACAGCTCAAAGGAGTGAAAGTGAATTGTGGCCCATTATCTGAAACCAGGGTGTCTGGATAACCATGGGATGTGAAAATGTTATCCAAGACCCGGCCTACTGCAACCACTTGAGGAGAACCAGCTCTACCCATTTGGAGAATAAGTCTACCAGGATTAGAAAGTTCTTTCCTTACATGGGGCCTGCTAAATCCACAGGTACCCTAGACCATGGTGTTTTGGTATCTTCCCACTCCCCTGGAGTGGCAGCCAGGAGTGCAGGTGTGGACATTTGGGAGGAAGAGCAACTTTGAACTTTATTAGTAACTGCCTCATCCAGTCCTGGCCACCACACATAGCTCCTTGCCAAAGCCTTCATTCTATTGATACCTGGGTGACCCTCATGGAGTACCTCAATGATGCAAGGCCATAGCAGATGTGGAATTATTACTCGGTTTCCCCACAACAAACACTCCTTCAGCACACTCAGTTTTGTTTGGTGAGCCTTGAAGGGGCGGAAATCCACTGGAGGAGTTTTCCTGAGCCACCCCCTCTGCACCCAGTACATAACTTGGGATAGTGGTGTATCTTTGGTGATGGCGTAGGCGATGTCATCAGCTGTGAGTGGCAATTGTAGATCTTCCATCAGGAACACTGAGGCCGAAGGGGCAGGATGAGCAACCAAGGTGGGCAATGTGCATCTGCTCAGGGCATCAGCATGGGCCACATTTTTGCCAGGTCTATATGTCAACTTGTAGCTGTATGCTGCTAAGAAAATGGTCCAGTGAGTCATTCTTGGGGAGAGGATTTGTGGGCTGGGTTTGTCAGCTGCAAAGATGCCCAGCAAAGGCTGATGGTCAGTGATGAGCTCAAACTGGTGTCCATAGAGGTATTCATGGAACCTTTTGACTGAGGCCACAGCAGCCAATGTCTCCTTGTCTATTTGGCTGTAATTTCTCTCAGACTTGGAGAGTGTTCTTGAAAAATATGCGATAGGTGCTGTGGCCTGTGGCCTGTGCAACCTGTGGCCTAGGACTGCCCAAATCCCATAAGGGGACACATCACAAACTAAGATAAGGGGAAGAGCATCACTGAATTGTATGACTACCTTGGCTGAAGTTAGCAGGGATTTGACTGCTAGGAACAAGGCCTGTTCTAAGTTCCCCCACTTCCAAGGTGTTTTGAAATCCAGCAGTCTGTGCAAGGGCTCAGCTACAGTAGCCTTATGGGGCAGGAAAGAGCTGTAGAAGTTAAGTAAACCCCAAAAAACTTGCAGCTTTGTTTTGTTTTGGGGTGCAGCGACCTCCTGAATAGCTCGTACTTTGGACTCCACAGAGTGAATTCCCTTTGCAGTCAATGTGATAACCAAGGAAGTCTATTTTGGAAGCTGCGAAAATGCATTTCTTTTTGTTAAGCTTTAGTCAGTATTTTGAAAACACTGGAGAAATTTTTGCACCCATGTCAAATGATCTCGTGGGCTGTCAGCAGCGATGAGGATGTCATCGAAGTATGGGATGACACTTGGAATATTGTACAGTAAGAGTTCCATGATTGATTGAAATATACCAGGGGCAACGCTGACATCGAATTGCAAATGCTTACATTTGAAAGCGCCCCTATGAGTGATGATCGTTTGGGCCTCTGCTGTCTCATTGTCCACTGGATATTGCTGGTACGCTTGAGTCATGTCCAGCTTGGTAAAGATGGAACTTTTACCTAGGGAGTGGAGTAGGTGCTGTATAATTGGCACAGGATAAGCGGTCGGTTGGAGCCCCTTGTTAATTATGGACTTGTAGTCAGAGCAAATTCTAATAGAGCCATCTTGTTTCAGAGGAATCACAATAGGGGTTTTCCATTTAGCAAAGTCAATTGGCTCCAGAACCCCTTGGGCAATTAATTTGTCAAGTTGGGCATCCATTTTAGAACATAATGCCAATGGCACTCTGCGTGGTTTGAGGCATAGAGGAGCTATGTTTGGGTCCAAGTTAAGGGAAATAGGAGTGCCATTTTAACAGCCAAATTTGTCACTGAAAACTTCTGAATAGTTAGCAAGAAGTTGCTCTAGGTTGTGGGGAATGACTGCATTTACTCCAGTCACTTGTAGTCCTAGTGAGTGGAACCAGTCCAAACCCAATGAACTTGGCAGGCACCCATTTATGATAATTAGTGGCAGGTGACCCTTAAAATTATTGTACTGAATATGGAACTTGCCTGTTCCGAGGACTGGAATGGATTGTCCCTGGTAGTCCCTCAAAGTCAGGCTGCAGGGGTTCTGATGGTTCTTTTTGATGGGTGGCACCAGATTCTTCAGTGTCTTCCAGGAGAGGAGAAAAAGTGAGGGTCCGGTGTCCACCTCCATCTGACAGGGGCTGCCTTCTAGGAGAAGATCAACATTTTATTAATATTAAAACAATAGGACAGTGACTCAGCTCTTGGGAATGCTTTGTTGATGGCATAGCATTCCTGTTTGGGTTTGAAATTTCTTGGCTGGTTCAGATGTTGAGGTGGCCGGATTGTGTTTCTTGGTGCTTGGCAAATTCTAACCAGGTGGCCTTTATTCTGGCACTTCAGGCAGACTGCATTTCTAAAGCTGCAAGTGGCTCTCAGATGGTCTCTCCCACAGCCGAGGCAAATCAGCTGTGGTGTCAGTTGTTTATTGTCAGTGGGGAGACTTCTTCTCTGCATGGGCTGAGGTGTTTTGAGGCAATTTACTGCTTCCTTCCTCTTTGAAGTATTCATCTTCGAAGAATGTGTCTTCATAGTGAACTGTAGAGCTGGGCTTTACCCTGGGAAGGCTGCTTGCTTTTTGTATTTCGGCTGCAGATATGTTTGATAGTTCAGCTGCTTGTGCTTCCTTGATTGCCTGTTTTAAGTTGAGGTTGGCCTTTGCCAGCAGCCGTTGTTGTAGCTGAAGGTCTCTCACCCCACAGAAGAGCTGGTCCACCATCTAGATGGTCTTGGAATCCTCATTGGAGGGTGGCCAAATGAAGAGCCACCATATATTCACTCATGGACTCACCCTCCTCCTGACTTCTTCACTGGAAGGCATGGTGGTGAGCAATGCGTGATGGTTTGGGGGCATGGTGGTTTCTGAGCACCTCCTGCAGCTCTTCCCAGGTGACAGCCTTGACTGTCTGAGGTGACAGCAAGGCAGTGGCAGTGTCAAAGACGGTTCCCCACAGAAGCTCAGGAAATAGGCTTTTTTCCTGTTCGGAGGGATGTCAGATAGGTTTGCGGCATCCATGACTCATTCGAACCTGCTGATATATGATGTCCACGTCTTGGTGGTCGGCTGAAAGGGCGGGAAGTTCAGTGGTGCCATCATTTCTCCGCTTGTTAGTGACAGCTTTTTTTGTAGTGACTTCAGCAGTGTGGTGCTCCCGCTCCCTCTGCCTTAGGATTGCCTCAGTTTGCTGACCATCTCATCCTTGTTGCCAGTTTTGGGTTTGGCATGCAGGAGAGACGAAGTGGAAGTGAAAATAAAGCTAACAGGCTTTATTGATAAATTGTATCTCAGCTGTGGCTAGCCGTGACCTTACGGTAGCAGCTCTAAGAGAGAGAGAGAGAGAGAGAGAGAGAGCGCGAGCGCTGATTCCATTTGTATCCTTTTGTATCCATCCTTTTATATGGAGCTGTCAAACGGCTCAGCCAATCAGAGGCTTCTCCAGCTCCCACTCAAAAAGCGGACCGGGGTGAAGACTTGCTGGTCACAACAATAAGCACTGTTTCCTCCTTTATCTACCTCACCTAAGGCTTCCCCTCGCTAAAGAGGATGACAACAGCAGTGCTGCCCATGTGCAACTTAAAAGTAGATCCATTAATATGCATCCACATTACCTGCTGAAATCTAATCCACCCCACTTCTGCCTCTTTGCTTTGTCATCCTGATTCCTGAGTATATTCCAGCATATCCAAATGTAGTCGTAGGAGAATATACTGATTAACATGGACTATCCAAGGTCTTGCAACAGAAGACATTTTAACTGCTCCCTTTTAAGTGGTCAGAGGACCGAGTTATAAGGAAAATTAGCCATGCACCAACAAAGTTTGTTGCAGAAAGTTTATGGGAAAGAATGCATCCAATCTAAATTACAACGGTGTAATACATTTAAGGGTGGCATCAGGTACAGGGAACATGACTAGACCTTCATTGGTTTTTTAAAAACACATCTGATGGTAAGGCTGGTACTTTCTCCTAGAGGAACCTAGCCAGTTACTTACACAAGTGGAGCAGCAGGCAGAGATGAGTTGTAGGCAAGTGAAAGCCTCAAACCTATAGTGCCGTGGGTCACCATTCGATGTCAGCAAATGTAGTAACAAACTCTAAATGATGCTGTCTGTCATCTGTTGGTCAGATTTTTTTCAGCCTAATTCTAAATCTATGAATGGCACTCCATCCTACTTCCATTTGTCTATGAGAGCTGCTTGGGTATGGAAACCCCAGGCACTTGAATAGGTCTGCTCCTTTGATTCTAATCAGGAGCAATTCATCTGGTGACTTATTTTGTGATGTGGATGGGGCATCTGATAGGTTTACTTTTGGACTCTTGCCCTTGCCTCAGATAAGGATGGATAGGTTTAAAAACAATATGTGATGATTTTCTGACTATCAGTAATATTTTATTTCATTTTTTGAAGGTGACGGCCAATAGATTTTGTTCTGAATCAATGTTCTTTTTTTAAAAAAAAATGCATGTGCAATTATGCACAATATGTGCGTAAATCAAAGATGCCTTTTTCAGAACTAATGAAGCAGAAATCTGTTTTTGCTAATTTAAGTGATCTTCCTGTTGACTAAGGAATTAACAAAGGAGAGAAAGAGAGAGAGAGAGCGAACTGGACTGGGAAAAAATAGCAAAAAGAACAAAAATCTTTGGTTGAAACAAAGAAATGTATTAAGTTTTAGCCACTGCTTCACAGCAGTACTGCTTATAGCTCATCAACAATTTATTTTAACAGCAATTAAAGCTATTTCTGAATTGTTTTTTTTGTTGGAAAAGATAATCTGCTTTTCCTTGAAACACATTAGAGTTTTGAATCATAATGTTGGATAAAACCAATGTGCCAGATCCCCCATCTGAACATGTTTGCTCATGATAGTAAATATTTTGTAGTATGCTGATCTAATTTGCATGCCATGGGGAATCACAGACTGTGTTAAAACTGTTAAGCAAGTCAGTATGCATATATTAAATTAAACCCAAGATTCAACAAGAACTTTCAGTTGCCTATCCAGGTCTTTTGGACTTCTTCCTCAAAGATGGAGGAATAGCATCCTTGTCTCAGAATCACGGTAAATCTGCTTCACCAAATGGGAAGTCAGGATAATGGATGGTTTCCCAGAACTGAAGTTTGTATTTCAGAGTTCAGTGATACATACGGTAATTTCTTTGGCCCATCGTGGTTTCTGGACAAAGATATTTTGCAGAATTTATGTTTCAGAAAGTTATACTATAAGGACAAATAGCTGTAGTTTATTAATTAATAACATTAGATTACAAATGAATAATCTATTTTTTATTAGCCACCAGATACCATATATTGTGCCAGAAAACCTCCTACATTTGCCCATATTCATACCTGCTGTTAATATTAATATTGGAAACAGCAAGCAGAGTCATAAGGGTGGCTGGATTCAAAGAATATACCATATTAGCCCTAAACAGAGTTGGATATTTTGTGTTTCAACATAGTGTAAGAACTAAACTATGAAATTAAGCTGTAGTTTGAGGACAGCGTAACAATTTTTGTTAACTCTGTTTGAAGGTTGTATTCATTTCTAATACTTATATAACTATCATGCTTTTATTTAAGTACTGTATTTTGTATAAATGAATTCCATACGGTATTTCATTATGCTTAATATTTGCACTAGATAAATATACTTTATACTTGAAACTGTTTACTGCTATAATGAGATATTCTTTATTTCCTTTTTTCTTTTTCTGTTGTATTTTTAAACTTTAAAAACATTTTTATGCTTTTCCCCCTTTAATAATGTATGTAATTCAATCATAATTATCTTTGTGGTTTGTTTCTTTTTTCTTTTTCTGTTGTTATTTTAAAAACAGTAAACAAATAAAAAAAACTGGTTTAAGGTTTGATATGTTGTGTGAACCCAACTTGAAAGCTGAAACTGGCTATTCATATATATTTGCAGAGTTATGGGGATTAAGATTGGAGTGTAAGATCCTTTTAGTAGATAAACAGACTGTATTCAAAGGGTGGGTAGGGGAATGAACTATTACCTAATGTTTGCCAAAGAAACACTCTAGTACCCCTGGGGAGCTTTACACATAGCCTTAGTGATTCTTGCCATTTGAGTCGAACTCTATTAAAAAAACTTTAGAGGAAGCTGGAATTATGAGCCATTTACAAATAACTACTGTTGTTAATAAAGATGATGCATGATAATCTCAATATGCAGGTTAGATATCATCTAAGTCATCTATTCTAAGTCATGTATTGGCCCAAATCCCCATCTGGAAAGAAATAAAGCAAAATATATTTTAGCTCAGTTTTAATTTCTATATCAATTCAGTAGTTCATGCCCTAACAAAGAATACATTTTTCAGCTCTCCTCCCCCGCCCCATGTTGGCTGATTGATGCTTTAAACTAGGGGTCGCCAGCCTTTGGGACCTCAGGGAACACTAAACTCATACTTTTAAATCCCGAGGACCACTAATACGATTTTTTTAAAAAAGCTAATATATTTAATATAAAAATGTTAAGTATAAATTTAATATTATATATATATATGTGTGTGTGTGTGTCTGTCTGTCTGTCTGTCTGTACACACACACACACACACATACCTACAGACACACACACATACACACTTGTGGTGGCTCCGGGCTTGGATTCAGCTCCTGTGACTGATATGCGTTCAAGTGAGGAGGTCATGGCAGAAAAATATGAGCCGGCCTGGCTCAGTGATTGGACTGGTAACCAGGATGAGGAGATGGATGTGACAAAGGATGACAGACCTGATGTATTAGAATTGTCAGGACCTTTGACCTCCTCTGGTTCCTTATCTGATCAACAGCCGGGAATGGCTGACAGGGAAGTTTTGAGAGAGTCTTCTAGTGGAGATGAGAACTTGGAAAATTTGTGGTTAAATGTAAAAAACAGAAGACGGTTGAGAAGGCAAAATCAGCTGGAGCGAATGAGGAGAGCGAGTCAGTAAATTAGCATGTTGCCTCAATGAGTATAAAAGGACACAGCTGGGCTGGTACATTTTGCCAGGAACAAAGTGACTATTTGAGTGAGGACGTTACAGCAAGAAGCTCTGAGACTGGAGATTTATTGC